CCCTGGGATACCGAGGGACCCTCACCTGGGACCCACTGTCACCTATAGGAAATCCTGAGGAACCCCTACCTGGGAATTGCTGTCACTTACAGGAACCTTAGGGACCCTCACCTCGGGACGCTCTGTTACTTATAGGGCCCTAACCTGGGAGCTGTTGTCACTTGTAAGAAACCCCGAAGGACCCTCCTTAGGGCCCCGAGGAATCCTCCCTTGGGACTCAATTTCACCTGTGGGAAACCCAAAGGAATCCCCCTGGGACCTGCTGTCATTTATGGGAAACTCTAAGGGACCCTCACTCGGGACCCTCTGTCACCTATAGGAAACCCTGAGGGACCATTACCTGGGACTTGCTGTCACCTATAGGAACCATAGGGACCCTCCCTGGGACCTGCTGCCACCTATAGAAAGCTTAGGGACCCTCACCTGGGACCTGCTGTTTCCTAGAGAAAATGCTGAGGGACCCTCACCAGAGACCCCCTGTCACCTATGGGAACCTGAGCGACCCTCACCATGGACCCCAAGGGACCTTCACCTGGGACCCACTGTCACCTATTGGAAATGCACTCCGTATGGCTCTGATCCATGGGAAATCCTGCTGGAGTCATCCCTATAGGAATCCCTCTTTGACTCTCTTTAGAGCTTGCTGTGACCTATAGGATCCAATCTCACCTTAGCATCACCTTGGGACTTACTTTCTCCGTCCCCAGACCCCAGGAAGTGTTTGAGACCCAGCTTTTCCCTCCTGCCCCAGGGCTCGAGCTGAAACCAAATCCCACCTGGCTTAGGTGGACTCATGGCACTGGGGAGGGCAAGTGTGTCACCAGGAGTCCCCAGATTGTGTTGGGCCATGTTGGAGGTGCAGACCCTTACCCAGCCTTGAGGACAGAGGTTCCAGGAGAAGGGACGCAGTCATTCCGCTCTGTCACCTGCAGCTTTGACTCTCAGGCTCCCCCGATGGTGTTCACACCTGTATGTGCTTCCCAGGGCATGGCAAGAGAGCATCTCCCTGAAGGAACTGCAGCGGAGAGGTGTCTGTCTGCTCAAGCTCCAAGTCACCAGCCAGAGAACTGGCCTCTACGGGCGGCTCCTCGTGACATTCCAGCCCAGGAAATGGGATTCGGATGCTGAGCTGCCCTCCAACAGTTTTGGGCCTGGTAAGTGACTCCTTCCAAAGAGGTCATAGAGTCATGGAATGGCCTGGGTTATAAGGGACCTTAAAGCCCATCCAGTTCCACCCTGCTGCCATGGGCAGGGACACATTCCACTAGCTCAGGTTGCTCCAAGCCCTGTCCAACCTAGCCTGGAACGCTTCCAGAGATGGGGCAGCCACAGCTTCTCTCTTTGCCTGCTTCATGCTCTCCCTTCAAACTTGCCTTTGCAGGGGACATCGTGGGGCTCTATGATTCAGCTGGGCAAGGTGACCCACTGTGCACGGGTGTCGTGACACGTGTCACCTCCAAAGCAGTGACAGTGGCCTTGGAGGAGTCCCGTGAGGGCACACTGAGTGTGGACCGGGAGTGCTCCTTCCGCCTGCTCAAGCTGGCCAATGATGTCACCTACAACAGGCTGAAAAGGTAAAGGCCATGGGGCTGCAGCTCACCTGGGGTGCAAGACCCACATGAGAATTCCCAGGTTTAATCTGGAAAAGCTCTTCTTGGACAGATCCCTGTTTATTCACTAGGCTTGGTTTCTCCTTCCCCATCTCATTCCTCTTACTCCTACAGCAGCTCCACTGAGAGGAGGTATCCACCTTTGGGCTATGCCTTTCTTCCTGTGCTGACCGCTGAGGGAATCCCAAGGATAACTCAGTGGGATTTGTCATGCTACAGCCTCACAACAGCCTAAATTTACCTACCTGCTGGCTGGTCCTGCTCTTCCCTTTTTCTGTTCCTCTCCCACCCCTCATCCCACACCCAGCTGTGTATTTTGGTCCAGCTGCATCACTTCTGCTACTCACTGGATTCTATGTAGAGCCTTTTCCATCCTGGCAGGAGAAATGAATATCTCTTTGCTGGATTAATGTGCTGGAAAGGCACATTTGGCTGGAATAATGGGAGGTGGAAGCCTGACTAGCACAGGGATATGTGTGGGATGATTAGGGGATGCAGGAATTAGGTGGGGTAACATTGTGCAGCTTTGAAAGAGTTTAGTCTGTGCCCACAGGCTATCTCTGGGCCCTTGGGAGTCTCCAAAGTAATTCC